GCTGCTGCCCCTGCTGCCCCCCGTCATCAGACTGTCCACACTGAACGTACCCACAACCCCCGACGTGTCCATGCTTACGTCCGTCATGTGATGGTCCACGACAACTCCCGGCTTCACGTCCTGCTGCTGGTACTTGCTGTTCATGCAGTTGCTCAGTTCTACAACTGGCTCGCGTTTCGGCTTGCACTCCGCGGGACTCGACTTAATGACTTTCGTGTCCGCGGTGCTGCTGCTCAGCAGGACTTTCTCCTCGGCTCGTTTGTGCCCCTCCTGCTGCTGCTGCTGTCTCTTGAGCGCCTCTTCCTTCTCCTTGATGGCGTCCTTCTTCTTGAAGCGTCGTCGACGTCGCAGGTACGAGCCGTTGTCGAACATGTTGTATGAGTCCGGGTCCAGGGTCCAGTAACTGCCTTTGCCAGGCTTCTTGTCATCACGCGGGACCTTGACGAAGCACTCGTTCAGGCTGAGGTTGTGCCTGATGGAGTTCTGCCAGCCTTGCTTGTTCTCTCGATAGTACGGGAACCTCTCCATTATGAACTGGTAGATGCCGTTTAGTGTTATCCTCTTGTCTGGTGCGTTCTGGATTGCCATGGCGATGAGTGCGATATACGAGTACGGCGGTTTTACCATGTCCTTGGCTGGACCATGATGCAGCTGTTGCTGGTGAGGGTTTAGTGGATATGGGGTCGCGGCGTAGGGGTAACGGGAATACTGGTCATAAGTGTAGGCGGCTGTGCTGGCGCTCATATGATGAGCCGCCCCCGACATGGCGCCCGGGTAACCGGCGGCGGCAGCGGCGGCGGGGTGTCGATAGTAGGCATTCTGGTCCCCGAACAGCGTGTGCATGCTGATCGTGGTATTCCCGGAGTATGTGCCGTGCTCCAGGGTGACGACCAACGGCACCGCGGTGCCGCCTCACACGGCCTCCATAGCACCTATCGGGCGTCGCAAATTACTTGTTGCTTTGTTGGCCGATCAGCAAACATCAACACGATTAACAACACATGTGAGAGAGGAGTGTGGTGGGGGCAGGATCTCTAGCAATGACTCCCCCTGACCAAGTTCCTCAGCATAAACATTTTGACTGCCCTGCTGTACCGATAAAAGTTCTGGTAGAATGCAATCACTCGCAAAGCAACTTCTTATTATGACACACAACACAGCCCGGTTTACACAGAGATTAAGTGAAAACAGTCTGCTTGTTTCCTTTCACCACAAGGCTCACAATGTAGAGAAAACAGTGGCTTGCGCCCGGTCGAATTAGCGAGCTAACGCAAGATCAACAAGCAGCGCCGGACTGAGGAGAGAGCTGGGGGCTCGCTCGCCGAGGCTGACAGGAGCGCGGGATGGGACGCGCAGAACACGTTCTCACTCCCCGATACTTGCGTGAGAAAGAGATGAAACCAGAGGGAAAAAATCCGCCCGGGGGAGGGGGGGGGGCTTTAAATTGAATTGTCCCCGTCGGTTCTTCTAAACAGATTACTATCACCCTAATAGAAACACCGGAGGTAACTAACACTATATCTTATG